GGCCGGTCGGTGGCTTTCCTTCTACAGCTCACCGGGCTTGCTGCCCTTTTTGCTCTGTAGTCAAAATGGGGTGAGGCGCTTATCAGAACCCCTCCTCCACCTCCCCAAGCATACACAGAGCGAGCTCATGTGCGCAATGAGGGTGTGGCAGTGTCTGTGCGCGAGGAAGAGAAGGATTCGTTGCCCGCGAGAGAGGAAGGTGCTCCGTGTGTGCAAGGCTCTTGAGGATGGGCGACGACACAACACGCGCACACGTGTGTGTGTGTGTCTGACCTGAGCGCATTTGTGAATGAGCTGTGTCCTCGTTGTGCGCACACTGGGACTTGGGAGAAGCGCGCCGCCCGTGTGCGATTTCCAAGATGGAAGGCGAGATTGGCATGTGTGGTTGAGTGTGTGCCTGTGGTGAGATGGGGCGAGGACGTGAGAGGAAAAGGTGTTGCGTGCGCCTCGGGGTGCGAGGTGTCGGGGTGTGCGCCGAGGTCATAGGAGGATCCAGAGTCATCCCGAGATTTATTTATTTTTTGGTTCCCGAGGCAGTGGATTCAAGAGGATCCAGTCCCTTCCACTAATTAGTCTTTCCACAAGCCTCACTGATAGGAACACCCTTGCACTGGTGTGGTGTCCAGTGGACCTTCAAGGGTGCCTGGCGGTTCCGATCTGCCTGCTGGACACCTGTCCTCTGACCTTCCAGTGCTATAATGCCTGGCGATCACATTTGTGTACACCTCCTTTGCTACATGTGGTGTCCAGTGTTCCCTCTAAGCTGAGTTAGTGTGAGTTAGCTCACAGTTTTTTAGTCTCTGGCTCACACATTTTTGTCTTCGCTCAGGAAGGACGGCTCCAGAGCAAACAAACTGATGCCGTTGCTCAGTCACTCGCTCACCACTTTAATGCCAGTAGCTCACAAAGGAGAATTTTTGCTCACAAGACTCCACAGCTTAGAGGGACCATTGGTGGTATGTCACCTTCATGTGTCTCTAGTTCCAGCTCCTTCCAACCTAGCAGTTCGAAAGCAAGAAATTGCAAGTCGATAAATAGGTACCACTTCGGTGGGAAGGTCACAGCGTTCCATGCGCCTTGGTGCTTAGTCATGCCGGCACATGACCACGGAAATGTCTTCGGACAGCGCTGGCTCTCCGGCTTTGAAACGGAGAGGAGCACCGCGGCCCTAGAGTCGGATTCGACTGGCTTTCCAGCAAGGGAAACCTTTAACTTAACTTTTGCTACATGTGGTATGTGTCCCTTCTTCAGGTGTCGTGTTTCATTTGTACAAGCTTATGATACATGTTTGTGTTGCCCGTACAGCAAGAAGCGGGTTTGTGTACTGCGCTGGGGGCTATTAGGCCAGGCAGCATAAGGCCCCGTGCAAAAATATACATGTGTATGAGTGCCGTTCTTTTTTTGGGGGGGGGGGACTCCACCTGCTGTGTACAGCCACACAGCCCTTTCTGGAGAGAGCTGGAATGCAGGGTGTGGCCCGTCTTTGCCATTGGCTGCCGCAGTGTTGTCTGAACCTGCTGGATTATGTAAGCGGAGCCGGAGGTGTGTAACAGCAGCGGGCAGAGGTGTAACCCCCTTCTTTTGTGTCCTCCCTCCTCTAGGCGTTTCTGCTGACTGCTGGGCCTGACGCGGCCACCAACTCCCTTCACTTCTCGCCGCTCCCGGTGTCCGGCAACATCTCTGCTCTCGGAGCCCGTAGAAGTACTGCTGCAAAGCCCCCACCTGTTTCCAGTGGACTGAAAGATTATCCTGCCAGCGTTCAGTGGGGACCGGCAAATCCCGGACTTCCAGCTCAGAGAAATCTGAAGGAAGTTCAGCTCCGGCGGGTGTCTTAGAAGATGGTCACCCTGTATCGGGCAGTATCTCTGGCCTCGGTGGGCACCCGGGACTCACTCGACTTGGCAACGGGAGCACAGCGCAAGGCCACGTTGGAAGCGGCACCCTTGGCAATACCACTTGGTAACCCCCTCTGGTGGTAAATCCTGGAAGACGCATTGATTCCCGCCGCTGAAGCGACTGGGAGGGAAAATATTCCGACAGCAGACAGAATCCTATCTGCCCTTTGCTAGTTGCACGGGGGGGGTGTTCGTGCCACCCCTCCTTGGCATGATGGAGAGTCTCAACTCGCCTACCTTGTGCGTGGCCGGGAGCTTCCCCGGCTTCCACCAAGACGGCATGATCCAGCGAGCCCGGGCGCTGAAGAGCAAGCCCAACGCCAACTGCCGACGGAAGCGGGAGTTCATCTCCGACGAGAAGAAGGACGACAGCTACTGGGAGAAGCGTCGCAAGAACAACGAGGCCGCCAAGCGCTCTCGGGAGAAGCGGCGCTTCAACGACCTGGTGCTGGAGAACCGGGTGATGGCCCTCAACGAGGAGAATGTGCGGCTCAAGACCGAGCTGCTGCAGCTCAAGTTGCGCTTCGGGCTCATCAGCACGGCAGCCTTCATGGAGAAGAGCCAGCAGCTGAGCACAGCCAACTCCACCTCCGCCGGGCACTTCTACGGGACTGGTGACGACGGCAGGTACTCCGGGGCTCTCTCCCGGTCTCAGCACTCGGAGGACTCCTCCGAGACCGAGCAGTCAAGCCGGGACACCAAATACTCGCCCCGGGGATCACTCTCTGACATTTCGGACAGTTCGTCACGGGGTAGCCCCGTGCCACAGACGCTTGGCGAAGCCCAGGCGGTCAGTCGGGCCTATGGGGATGCTCCCCTGCAGCACCCCCCGGAGCCCACGGGCTCGGTTCCTCGGGGCGTCATCCTCTTCAGTGCCAACGGTTTTACGGCTGTGGCCCCACCCCATCCGCTGCTCCCTCACCGACAGGAGCAGGCGGAAGGCTGCACCGTCGAAACGGCCAGAAGCCCCAGTCCGGAGAGCAACGCCCATTGCCGGGCGGAGGACCTGCAGCCTCACTCCGGCTACTGCTCCAAATCCCAGAGCTATGGCATGGCCCCGGATTATTTGGAGGGGGAGCTGGTTGGGGCGGAGCACGCCCCGAAGGCTCCGGAGCCTGCGTCTCCCTTTGACAGCTACTCCAGCGAGGAGAATGGGGAGGAGCCCGGCTGGAGATGCTCGCCTGCTCCGTTCGCCCTGCTGCCGGACGCCCATCCTGACGTCAAGACAGCCGCCCTTCCCCACAAGCTCCGGCTCAAGTGCCGGGCACACAGCAGCGGCATCCAAGAGGCGTTCCCCGGTCCGAGTCCTGCGCCAATGGCCTGCTCTCCGGGGACCCCCGCCTTGCCAGACTGGGAGAGCGACCGGCACGAGGAGGTCTCGGCCCTCGTGCGGCAAGCCTTGCTGCTCAACGACCAGCCCGCCCCGGTGGGGACCCTGGATAGACTTTTGTGCCCTGCCGCCGGACTCCACTCAGACGAAACGGTACCCAAGGAGCACGTCGGCAGGTGGGAGGACGGTTGCCACGACAACGGCCTCAGGCCCACCTGAAGGAGGCTCCGGTGTGGGCCGAGACGGGTTTTTGTATTTTTTTTTTAAATAAAAAACGAGCTGATGTTTTGGGCAAAAAGAAAACAGAAAATCGAGAGGCGAATCTTGGATTTGGAGCCTCCTCGGAGCCCAGGGTCAGAATACCACAGAGCAGGGATGGGCCTGTCTTGGACGAACTTAAACGGGGCCTAGCGAGAAGATGGATTTGGGGGACTGCTGAAGTCCAGCGGGCGGAGGGTTTCCCTACTCTGCCAGGCCGGGGTTTCAGTGCATCGACGGGATTTGTCCCGCTGAGCTCAGCTGCCGCAAGGTATCGCTACTTGATCAGATTTGGGGGGAGGGGGGATTGGTTTCACCAGGAAACACGGGAAAGTTGGCCGGATTGGCCCCGCGGAGGTCCCCCAATACGCACAACTGGGAGAGATGGTGGATCTGCCGGTGTTTACATTGTTCTCTGTATCAGGAACTCTTTGACTGAACAGACAATATTTGTGTTTTTAAATATTAAAATAAATGGACAGAAGACTTTGGAAAATACTCGGGAGTTGCTGAACATTTCTGGGGGTGAGGGGAAAAGGCTGGCAAGTGGGGGGCGGACGGGCGGGGTTACCCTGTCTCCTAGGGTGGCCAGATTTCCCAAACTTCTTGGGTTTCAAGGACTGGTGTTAACACCTTTCCATCAATGCTCCCTCTAAGCAGTGAAGCTTTGTGAGCAAAAATTCTGCCTTGTGAGCTACTGGCATTAAAGTTGCGAGCGAGCAATTTGGCGCCTGCTTAAATTAGTTTGCTCTGGAGCCCTCCTTCCCGAGCGAAGACAAAAATGTGTGAGCTGGAGGCTAAAAAACTGTGAGCTAGCTCACACTCACTCAGCTTAGAGGGAACACTTCTCCTAACCGATGCTCCCTCTAAGCTGTGGAGTCTTGTGAGCAAAACTTCTACTTTGTGAGCTACTGGCATTAAAGTTGTGAGCGAGCGATTTGGCTGCTGCATGGATTAGTTTGCTCTGGAGCCATCCAATGTTCCCTCTAAGCTGTGGAGTCCTTTGAGCAAAAATTCCACTTTGTGTGCTACTGGCATTAGAATTGTGAGCAAGTTATTTGGCTGCTGCATAAATTAGTTTGCTCTGGAGCCATCCTTCCTGAGCTAAGACAAAAATGTGTGAGCCGGAGGCTAAAAAACTGTGAGCCAGCTCACACTAACTCAGCTTAGAGGGAACACTGGAGCCATCCCTTCCTAAGCTACGACAAAAAAATGTGTGACCTGGAGGCTAAAAAACTGAGCTAGCTCACACTAACTCAGCTTAGAGGGAACTACTGCATAAATCAGTTTGCTCTGGAGCCCTTCCTTCCTGAGCCGAGACAAAAAACGTGTGAGCCGGAGGCTAAAAAAACTGAGCTGGCTCACACTGACTCAGCTTAGAGGGAACACTGCTATCCATCAAACAGATCCACGCGGTGGCTCAAAAAAAAAATCGTACAAGTTCATGCAGACTAGGCTGAAGTTATGAAATAACTTTATTCCAACTTCTTGGGTTTCAAAGACTCGTGTTACACAGTGCTCCCTCTAAGCTGTGGAGCCTTGTGAGCAAAAACTCTACTCTGTGAGCTACTGGCATTGAAGTTGTGAGCGAGCGATTTGGCTCCTGCATAAATCAGTTTGCTCTGGAGCCCTTCCTTCCTGAGCTGAGACAAAAAACGTGTGAGCCGGAGGCTAAAAAAACTGAGCTGGCTCACACTGACTCAGCTTAGAGGGAACGCCATCAAACAGACCCACGCGGTGGCTCAAAAACAAAGATCGAAGAAGTTCATGCACATGAGTCTGACGTTATGAAATATCTTTACTCCAAAATGCCATTCCTAAAAGACGCACACAGAATAGCTGAAGGCCATGGATATATTCCTGTGAACAAGGCAGAAAACTCTTAACCGGAGTTCAGACAACCAAGAGGGAGGTATCAGGACAGGGTGAGTTGGGCCTCATGAGAGGCGCCGTGTAAGGAACCCTGGTCCCGAGCTGCCTCGGGCTTTCTGCCCCGGCACTGTGCAGTCCAACCTGGAGACAAATTGGCAGCCGGCCCTGGCATTCTCTCTCCTTGTGGCCACTCCGCGCATCGAGTCGGCAGCCACACGGGGTGAGCTGAGCTCCAAGTCCCACTCTGTCTTGTTTGGAGGGAATGACACACGACTCCCAGAATTCCCCTTTCCTTCTGGTGGCGGAACACAACCACACACGTTTCTCTTGGCAGATGCGTTGTGTTAGGTGCACGTGTACATCGAGAACTGGGTCTCTCACCTGGTGGATTTTGATAAGGAAAGGGGCTACGGCTTAGCGGAGCAGTGTCTGCATGGCACACCGAAGGTCCCAGGTTCAATCCCCGGCATCTCCAGTTGTAAAGGACAAGGCAGGTGGTGATGGGAAAGACCTTGACCTGAGACCCTGGCTCAGTGGCAGAGCCTCTGCTTGGCACACAGAAGGTCCCAGGTTCAATCCCTGGCATCTCCAGTTAAAAGGACCAGGCAGGAGGGGATGGGAAAGACCTTGACCTGAGACCCTGGCTCAGTGGCAGAGCCTCTGCTTGGCATGGAGAAGGTCCCAGGTTCAGTCCCCGGCATCTCCAGTTAAAAGGACCAGGCAGTAGGTGATGCAAAAGACCTCTGCCTTGGGACCCTGGAGAGCTGTAAAGAGTGCTTGGCATGCAGAAGGTCCCAGGTTCAGTCCTCGGCACCCCCAGTTAAAAGGGTCAGGGAGTCAGTGATGCAAAAGATCTCGACCTGATGGGCTGCCTAAAGACCCCGGAGACGTGATCTCAGATCATTAGGGAAAAACACTCCTCGAACAGCCGAGCATCTCCTCTCCAAGACTGGGTCAGCTCTGAGAAATTTCCGGAAGCTCCAAGCAGTGCAGGAAGGCAAGACAGCCCCTGGCCCCATGGCTTGCTCTCTAGTCTTTGGTATTCAGAGATAGATTGCTTCTGGATGTGGAGGTTCCATTTAGCACCCGTGATTCAAGTCTCTTCCAAGCCCCTCTTTTTTTTTTTTTTTTTGGAATGAATGGACGTAAAATATTGGGAGTCGGTCCTGGAGGACAAGGGTCTTATTTGCATATATTATATTCCGGGGGAGGGGCCTGAGCAAGTCTCAAAAGCTGCACTTCCGGAACATTGGAAGAGTCGCTGGTAAAGATCCGATTGAGGAATTAAGCTTCGTTGAACGTTTATGATTCTTGTGTGCCTTGGCAATGCATACGCTACCCATTTCAGAGAAGAAGAGACTGGATGTATACCCCACCCTTCACTCGGAGTCTCAGAGCGGCTTCCAATCTCCTTCCCCTCCCCACAACAGGCACCCTGTGAGGTAGGCAGGGCTGAGAGAGCTCTTTCGAAGACTGCTCGTGAGAGAACAGCTCGTGAGAGAACAGCTCTTTCGAAGACTGCTCGTGAGAGAACAACCCAAGGTCATTCAGTGGCTGCATGTGGAGGAGTGGGGTATCAAACCCGGTTCTCCAGGTGGCTCCCAGGGGTGTGTATGGTGTGTCTTGAGCCCTGGTGTTGGGAAATTCCTGGTTCCTCTGAACCAGGACGAAAAGAAGATAATTTCAGCTGGTGTTGGGAAATTCCTGGAGGTTTTGTGGGTGGCGCCCGGGGAGGGCAGGGTTTGGGGAGGGGGCTCAGCAGGGCCAAGACACTGTAGTGTCCGCCCTCCAAAGCTGCCCTTTTATCTGGGGGATGTTTGGTGTCGTTGTTAAGTGCGCGGACTCTCATCTGGGAGAACCGGGTTTGATTCCCCGCTCCCCCACTCGCAGCTGCTGGATGACCTTGGGAAGGGGTCAATTCCTGCAGGAGCGCACAGGAGCAGAGCTCCGGCAGTAAGGAGCCCAGGGGGCGGGCACATGCAATAAGTCCGACCCCCTGCTCCCAGCAGCCCTCAGTCAGGCCACGAGGAGCAAGCAGCAGCCAGGTAAGTTGCAGAGCCTCCCCGGCCCCGGTCCAAAACAGTCCAGTGGCACCTTGAAGACCCAAGTTTTATTCAGGTACAAGCTCTCCCTCCTCTGTGAGGGCAGATCTGTGCATCCCCCCCCCCACAGCTAGCAGTCCAAAACAGTCGAGTGGCGCCTTTAAGATCAGGTTTTATTCAGGTACAAGCTCTCCCTCCTCTGCGAGGACAGTTCTGCACTCCCTCCCCTCAATAGCTAGCAATCCAAAACAGTCCAGTGGAGCCTGAGTGGTGGGTGTTGCCTTCTGACACACTTCCGGTGATGTCAGGGGGTGTGGTATATGCAAATAAATTATGCTAATAAGTTATTCTAATGAGCTCCTGCACCTCTTTTTGTACGAAATGACCCGACCTTGGGCTCGCCATAGTTCTGGCACAGCTGTCCTTGAAAAAGAGCCGTTTCTGTCAGAGCTCTCTCAGCCCCACTGAGCTCACAAGGGGTCTGTCATGGGGAGGGGAAGGGACAGGAGTTTGTGAGCCGCTCTGAGACACCTTTGGGTAGTGAAGGGCGGGGTATAAATCCAATCTCTTCCTCTTCTTCTCTAAACTGGTTTGATTCCCACTCCTCCACTTGCAGCTGCTGGATGACCTTGGGCAAGCCATAGTTCTGGCACAGCTGTTCTTGAAAAAAGAGCAGTTTCTCTCAGAGCTCTCTCAGCCCCACCGACCTCCCAGGGTGTCTGTTGTGGGGAGGGGAAGGGAAAGGAGTTTGTCAGCCGCTCTGAGACTCCTTTGGGTAGTGAAGGGCGGGGTATAAATCCAATCTCTTCTTCTGTAATCTGGGAGAACCGGGTTTGATTCCCTACTCCTCCACTTGCAGCTGCTGGATGACCTTGGGCAAGCCATAGTTCTGACAAGAGCTGTTCTTGAAAAAGAGCAGTTTCTGTCGGAGCTCTCTCAGCCCCACCTGCCTCACGGGGTGCCTGTTGTGGGGAGGGGGAAGGAAAGGAGTTTGTAAGCCGCTCTGAGACTCCTTTGGGTAGTGAAGGGCCATGGGGTATAAATCCAATCTCTTCTTCTCCTTCTTTTACCTCACAGGGTGCCTGTCGTGGGGAGGGGGAGGGGAAGGAGTTTGTGAGCCGCTCTGAGACTCCTTGGGGTAGTGAAGGGCCATGGGGTATAAACCCAATCTCCTCCTCCTCCTCCTCCTCTTCTTCCCATCTCTGTAGCCTGGCGATGCATTGCGATTCTGGGGCCGACTCCAGGCCCTGCCTGGAGAATGGCAGCCCTGGTTGCAGGCAGCTTTCGCCCTTCAGCCTCCGCTTGTCTCGCCCAGCGCCGCCCCTCTTCCTACCGCTGGCTCCCTGAGTTTTTTTTTCCTCCCGCTGCCTCCCTAGGTCAGAGCAGGATTATCCCTGATTAAGGAGGGCAAGAAGAAAGTGGCAGCAAAAGTAGGTCACGGGCTCCCGCCTTCCCAGACGAGCGCGCGTGCGCCAGCCACCCACCCGTCGGTCAGAAAGGCCCAGCCGGCGTTGCCATGGCAGCGTCTGCCTGGGCTCAAAAGACAGAGAGGGGGAAAGG